CGGCGAAACCGTGTAACAATGACGCTCGTTTGCCGTTGATTCGCGCTTTACAACATTCGTAGTTGTTATATCCGTCTTCCAGAAGGCGCTGCGGACCGTTGTTGAAACGTTCAAAATCACAGACGCCGGTGATCACTTCTGTACATAGTCGCTTGCAGTCATCCCTCATCTCGATGCATGCTTCAGGTGTGCACACACGTGTCTCATGGTCTTTGTTGGTGGCTATATCGGTTATCGTAATTTTGGGCAGTGCTGGAAGGTGGACATGCGACAGCGCGGCGACCCCTGTATGGAACGGTGCCTTGGGGGCAGCAGCGTCGGTCGCCCCTGATGCGCCGCCGCCATCGTTGGCACGCTCAGGGGGCTCGCAAGACACTCAGCCGACCCGCACTACGTTTTGTCAGCCGATCGACGTGTCCATGTGTAAGGAACTGCCGTACAACTTCACATCGATGCCAAACTTTGTTGGCAATGAGGAGCAGGTTGAGGCTGAATTGCAACTGACCACTTTCCAGCCGCTGATTCAGTTGCACTGTTCGTCGCAGTTGAAGTTCTTCTTATGCTCGGTGTATGTGCCGATGTGTACGGAGAAAGTGAACATCCCGATCGGACCCTGTCGTCCGCTATGCGACTCGGTCCGTCGTTGCTGTGAACCGATGCTACGCCAGTTCGGCTTCCCGTGGCCAGTCTCCCTCAATTGCTCGAAGTTTCACCCAGAAAATAACGCGCAGGCAATGTGCATGCGAGGTCCGGTCGAACAACAGCACACCGCCTGCTTCGGCGACATTCAGTTGATTGACGACGCGTTGACCAGGTCAAAGGCCAGTCAGCCGCCCCCTGATTCTAGCAACGACAAGATGTTGCCGTCTTCGGGGGCTAACAAACTCTGCCACCAAATGCGCGACGGTGGCAAGAACTTCGTGCGCGTAAACAAGACCACGACCTGTGTGCCGCTTTGTCGCGCTGATGTGCTTTTCGATACACATGTAAAGAGCAATGCCGAGATCTTGATGCTGGTTTTCGCGGCTGCATGCTCGGTCCTCAGTGTGGCTGCGGTAGCAGCTCACTCTTGTCGTCGACCGCGTTCTCCCCTTAGCTACCCCGATTTGCCGATTGTGTACATCTGTGTATGTTACGGTTGCGCAACTGTGCCGTTCTGGATCCGCGCTACTAGCAGGAATGCATTGGTCTGCATCCCATACGGCGCTAGCGACGTCATCGTTGGATATGGTCTACAACAGATCCGGTGCACGGTGGTCGCCATCGTGCTTTATTATTTCATAATGGCCAGTCACGTGTGGTGGGTAATCCTGTGTGTGTCGTGGTTTTGTGTTGGCCCGCTTGGCTATGGATCGGATGTACTGCAGAGGCGCAGCTTCGTATTCCACTGCCTCGCCTGGTCGGTACCATTGTTGAAGGTCATCGCTGTTTTCATCACTCATAGCGTAGACGCTGATGAGTTGACCGGCATGTGTTATGTCGGCAACCAAGACGTGCGGGGCCTGAAGTTCCTGCTCGTGCCGCAGCTGGTCTACCTGGTGCTCGGGCTTGTGCCGTTGACCGTCGGCTTTGCGCTGAAGCTCAAAGACTGCGTACTCGGCGCCGGAGGTGGAAGTCACGTCAGCACCGTCAGCAGCGATGGCCACTCCCGTGTTCCTGGTATTGCCTGCCGACCACCGCCGCCGTTACCGCCGGTCAAGGCAAAGGAACTTGGCTATTCGAGCCCCGTACTGGGCCACGTACATGCTCCAAGCTTGGCATCGGTCGGCCTCCTTGCGACGTTCTACGTAGTACCCGCAGCGTGCCTCATAGCCTGCTACTTGTACGAGTTTTGGAACCGCGCCGCATGGCTGGCCGATGCGTCTCGCCAACCGAGCTACGAAACATTCGTTGTCAAAATAGTCGCCACGCTAGTGTACGGCATCGCCACCGGCGGTTTCCTGCTGTGGCGCCGGACCTGTGACCGGACAGTGGTCAACGGCACGCACGCGAAAGCGCAGATGCTGCTGCCAGCGGCTACTGCCATCATCGGCTCGCCTTTGGCCAAGCCTCAGCACGCGCCGCTATTACCGACCGACCAACACTTGTACCGTGCTTATGAACAGAAGTGGTACTCCCGCGAGAACGTGCTCTGATCTTGCCGCGACTGTCCGTTCCGTTTTTCTGCTACGTACTCTACTCTTGAATTTTCAACTGCAGTACAGTACTATTTGTAATGTCGCGTTTTGTGCTTTTTTATACGCGAGCGTCGAATTATGTAAATACGCAGTTTGTGTTCTTGCGAGAAGTTTAGTAAACATTTTTTGCCGCCCGTTCGCTCGTTGCCTTGCCAGTGTCAGACTGTTTTGCCGGCCCCGGTTCGACCGAACGAGGTTGGTATTGACGTTGTGCCACCGGCATCAAATGCCTACGCATTGGTTGGTTAACGCCGGCCGCCGCTCAACGACAACACTCGACCGTCGGCTCCTGTCTTCAATGTGCTGTCCATCGTCTTGTGTCTTGTTTATAGAAGCGCTCAAAACGGGTACACAGCCGAGCCGATCCGTCTGGTCGTACTGTCAAAATCTGATCGCATCCGTCGTCGTTCGAAAGCACACACAACGACCGATCAGTCGATTTGCCTGACCGAACAACCGACAGAACCACCGCTGTCGATGTTTACCGAACGGTCTCGGCTGCAGAAATGTGTATAATTAATCGCGGGGCATGTCACTGATCCATCTTGCTGTCACTTTCCGGTTCGAGTCCAGAAAGCGATTGCGCACCGCTCTTGATCGCAGAGCACAGGCCGCGCGCGACGAGGGCATGCCTGCCGCCGATTCGGAGGCGAACGCTGCCGCTACTCATGGCGGTTGACGTCACGACGTGAGCGCCTCGCAGAAAATCGTTCTTTTTCCTCCGAGCAAACCACATATGTCCCTCACCATCGCCGATCAAATGGTGGTTACAGAAGACCGGTTCTACAGTCTCAGTACCGAGCAATGAGCAAAACTATGCGATTTATATCACCTACTACGATGGTACTGTAATTGGCATATTTTACACTCGGTCGCGGTGGTTCAAGTCTAAAATCGTTCGCTGACACTGTCAGTCATACAGGAAGAGGTGAAACTTGCAAACGCCCACATCATCAGACAATCGTTGAGTCTGTGTCATTGAAACGAACAAGTTGTTTACGCTGCAATATTCCTTAGAATGTGGTTAATCCTCTAATCTGAAACGGTAGAGAATAGCTTCTCTGTAAGACGCCACGAGGCGCTGGAGACAACTTAGTGAACGTTCTCCTAGTTATTCTTTTGCCCCTGTTCAGTTCCGCACAGCATCTCGATCGTGCAAATCACTGATATCATTGTTTATTCGTGCCGACAACGTTGCAGTTCAACCAGTTAATCTTAACCACGCAAAAAATACCAGGCAAGGTGCCGGAAGCAGAGCAACGCATCTCATTTTACTGCAATCCTTGTGACGTTGACCTGAATTTCGATACACCATTTTGAAAAAGGTGAAATATAAAAATTGCTCGTGTTGCTGGTGAGGTTTAGACTTCATTCTCTGATTTCAAACACGTTATGGAAGAACGCATCAGCCAAGGGATTAGTATCTTCAAAACCCTATTCGTATGAACGAGGAGCTATCAGTTATCCAAAAAACGATTCTTTCGAGAGTAATTTACCTAATTCAATTGTTGCAGGTACAAAGATTCAGTGATCGGTGTTTTGGTTTATCACTGAATTCGAAATCTTCGTCTTCCTGTACACTGGCGTTGAATCGGTATGGATTTCCGATGAGTCATTTAAACCAGTAATATCTAATATTGTGCAACTTTTCTACTTCTACTCAATGTTTTCCCGTGATTGGCGATGTCGTCGTTTGAAAGCTGATTCTTTGGTAGTCTTTCGACTTTCTTTCCTATCTATAATTGTTCAATTATACGACTTGTTATATAAGGCCGCTTATTCAGTGTGAAAACATAGTGTGCGCAGGTAATATCGCCTAACTTAGTCGTCCATGTTAACTAGAAGTTTTCATCTAATCATCTGAATCCATTCATTCAGTCAGTTTTTTGTTCAGAAGATAGGCGGTTCGTTACATGCATAATACATGCGCTTTATTTCGATTAAATGTTATTCACCTGATACGAGTGATATTCAATTTTCACCATAATCTGATGTCATTCTTACCTTTCACTAAGTCTCATTCTCGAAGTCATAAAAAAATTTTTTTCTATACTGGTGTCATTCCTCATGAGGCAAAGCATCGTTGTTTCCCTTGCTGTATATTTCGAAACAGCGATAGTTGGACTGCTATGTTTGGCTAAAGACACAGAGACCATCATCATCGCGTAGTCGACAAATTAAAACAATGTACTGGATACCGCGTTGAGGAGCCAGGAACTGACACCTCGGTACAGTAGTTTGAGTTCATAGTTCTTCTGATCAGTTGTTGTTTTATGCTGCGTATTGTTGGAGTAAGGGAGCCGTAAAGCGTGGTAGAGCAGCTTCATTACTTCAGTATGAGGAGGGACCTATTTATGAATCAGAGACCGTTCATCGGCTTTCACTGAGAAGAGCTCATTGGTCGGCCGGTTGAACTGTGGAAACAGCTTCCCAACCACTTCATGATCATAACAACTAGTCCGGATTTTATAATAATCCACACGATCCTCGTTGGCCGACCGTTTCGGTGTTCACGACAGGCATTCACATC